TCGAAGCTGTACAACGACTTAAACGTGTACTTCTGATTGCAGAGCAATATGGTTTAGAAATAAATTGGAAGAAAGCAAAATTGATTTCCAGGGAAATTGAATATTTAGGACATTTAATAAAGAATGGAGAGGTCAGACCTACTGCTGAGAAGACGGATGCGGTGTTACGGTACCCTAAACCAACATCCATAAGGCAAGTTCGCAGTTTTCTTGGTCTAACATCATATTTTAGGAAGTACATAAAAGACTATGCATTGTTGGCGAAACCACTGTCCGATTTATTAAGAAAAGATGCTTTATTTGTGTTTGGAGAGAAAGAAAATAATGCATTCCAGAATTTAAGGAGAAAATTAGGAGAAAATCCAGTTCTAAAGATTTATGACTCTAATCTGCCAACAGAATTGCACACCGACGCATCCTCTGTTGCATATTCTGCCCTTTTGTTACAGCTGCACACTGATGGTTGGCACCCTGTATACTATATGAGTAAGAGAACCAGTGAGGCTGAAGCGAAGTATTCCAGCTATGAACTAGAAGCCTTGGCTATTATTGAAGGCGTAAAGAAGTTCCGAGTCTACCTTTTCGGCATCCATTTTAAGATAGTCACGGACTGCCAAGCGTTTGAACTAACGCTGAAGAAAAAGGATTTGACACCGAAAATAGCTCGCTGGGTACTGTTTTTAGACCAATACGATTATGAAATTGAACATAGGCCAGGTATGAAAATGCAGCATGCAGATGCGTTAAGCCGGAATCCCTGCATGACCATGGTGATGAGCAGTTTACAAAACCAAATAAGATTGGCACAGCAGAATGATGAAGGACTGAAAGCAGTGTGCGAAGTCCTACAGAGAAAACCTTTTGCAGATTATTGGTTAGATAATGGACTCTTATACAAAGGCGAACAAAAGCTGCTGGTCATTCCCAAGTCACTTGAAAAGGAAATCATTAAACGTGTTCACAGTAATGGACATTTTTCAATGAAAAAGATGAAGGAGTTAATTATAAAGGATTACTACATTCTAGATTTAGAAAAGAAGCTTCAAGATTTTGTCATTACGTGCATTCCATGTCTATTAGCTACTAAAAAGGCGGGTAAACAGGAGGGATACCTAAACCCGTTGCAGAAGGAGACAGTTCCATTGCACACTCTGCATATAGACCACGTGGGTCCATTAACAGACACGAAGAAACAATATAATCACATATTGACAATAGTGGACGCATTCACCAAGTTCACATGGATATTTCCAACTAAAAGTACCACCAGTAAGGAAACTATAGATAAGTTGAAAATACACCAACAGCACTTTGGTAATCCAGTGAGGATCATAAGTGATAGAGGGACGGCATTTACAAGTGGTGAGTTTAAAGATTACTGTCAAGAGGAGAACATACAGCATATTACCATCACCACCGGAGTACCGAGAGGAAATGGTCAAGTGGAGAGGTTGCACAGGACTATTCTAGCTATACTAACCAAGCTGTGTATAGAAAATCCTTCATTATGGTATCGACATGTTAGTAGAGTGCAAAGAGCCTTGAATAGTACCTATCAGAGGAGTATCAGCACTACTCCATTCGACCTTATGATTGGTACTGAAATGAGATCAAAAGAAGACCTGCAAATTTTCGAGTTATTGAGACAAGAAGAGATAGATGAATATATGGAAAATAGAGAAGAAATTAGAATAAAAGCTAAGGAACAAATTCTCAAAGTACAAGAAGAAAATAGGAAGACTTTTGATAAAACCAGAAAACCAAGTTTCAAGTACAAAGAAGGAGATTTGGTGGCGATAAAAAGGACGCAGTATGGCCCAGGACTGAAGCTGAAGCCTAAGTATTTAGGGCCCTACCGAGTGAGGAAGATCAAGCGAAATGACCGCTACGATGTAGAGAAGGTCGATAGTGCTACTGAGGGGCCTCATAAAACGTCCAGCTCAGCCGACTTAATGAAGAGGTGGCCGGAGTTAGGCGAATAAGTCTACTGTAAATTGGGTAAGCAACTTGTTAGAATAAAAATTGTATGAAAGGGATGTATGAGTATTTAATAACATAGTTTAACATTTTGAAAATACCTTTCATCATAGCTGTAATTTTATTAAGATTTTTAATTAACTAAGCTGTTATTTTGTATTGTAAGCTATTATAAGATTGTAAGATAAGAATGTAACCCTGTTGTAAAATGTGATCATTTACCAGACTTACACTGTTTGTAAATTTTGTAACTTTAGATCTTTAAGTGTTCAGTTAATTAAATTAAATTAAGTAAATTAAAAAGATAATGTGTAACCACTAAATAGAACCAGTGTCGTATTTAGTATTAATTAGCTTGTATTCCTAGTAATCCACGTTTTATAATTTCATGTCGATTTCGTTTATATTGTATTACCAAGGTATAGTGGGCCGGATGTATTCCTGACGTATAAACTTTTAGTGTATTCCATTGTTTTTGAAGCATATTGTATAAGAAAGTCTGAGGACAGACTAGAGTCAGGACGGCCGAGTGTAGGACGGCAACACTAGGAGTGCGAGCGAGAAAGCATGTGTGAGAGGGAAGGAAAAAATGGCGCGACAGAGCTTAAGACGTTCAGTTCGGTTCCTTTTTTGTAAAATATAAAATAATTAGTTTCCCCGTGAATTTGTTTTTATTTCGAGCCACCACCCCACATGAATATTATTGGAAAAAGTGGTGAGATATCAAATTGAAATCTTCAAATATGAACGCGTAAGGCCGGCGCAGAGTGACGTCGCGGCATGGCACGGCACGGCAAAGGATTTTATTTTTGATCAAGTTATTTTTATCCTTATTTCATCGAGGTTAGAATTCATATTACTTTATTTCGATACAATTATACCGCGGCACGTCGTGGCATGCCGCGGCATGCCACAGGACGCCGCGGTATGCCGCGGCACATCGTGGCATGCCGTTTCATTCCACAGACGTCCCGCAAGTCACGTCGGTCACAGAATTATGACAATTAAACTAATTGAAATAAGGTTTGAAACTAGTGCGGCGGCGATTTCGGTGAATGGCGCGCAGCGAATGTGCCGCGGCATACCGCAACGCGCTTCAGCATGCCGCGACGCGCTTCGACATGCCGCGGCATGCCGTGCCGTGCCGCGACGTCACTGCGCCGGCCTTAAGGTATTCCATAAATTGAATGATTGTGTAGGGAGGGTTACCTACCTATATTCATACAATGTCACGTTTAAGAAGTTTAACTAAACCGGTTTGTTTACTTTTCATGAAATAAGTATTGACACCAGCTATGTCTACTAGCGTTTGTAACGTTTTGTCAATATCAATATAACTGTTAGTTTAAAAAATACAGTAGTTACTGGTACAGGTTGTAAGTATTTTAAATATGTTTATTAATTATAATTTAGAAAAATAAAATATTAAAATATTTGTTGAATTACTCGAGAAGGTTACTTTTATTTCATTCACCTAATGTTTGTGAGAGGTGGTTCACTTTGAGAATCTTAGGGTCGTATTCTAGAACTCTACTCAATGCTCAAGTCAGGATTGCACTGGAAACACAAGCAGTGGAAATACGACCCTAATGGCAGGGACTTGAGTATGATTTCGAGTGCTTTAAACCATACTCAAATCCTGACTTGAGCATTGAGTAGAGTTCTAGAATACGACCCTAAGATTCTTAGACATTACTTACACCTATGTAGAGGTAAAAAACAAAAAAAAAATGCAATAATATATAGTCATAGCTAAATAATATTTTATTTTTAATGTGACTTGAACCATGCTTGCCTCAACTTGCAAAGCAATCCTTATACTGCTAGGCCACGACGTCCTTACTATGTTGAAATTTGTATTCTGTATCGAAGTAAGAACTATACGTTAAAGATCAAATTGTTTTAAAAACTTTTTACAATGTCATTCATTAATGAGACGACCAGGTAGTCATACCAAAATAAATTTTACGGCTCACAGGTCAAGGATTAAGTTGTTTAAAAAGGTCGACAAAGTCGGCTTGGGGGTCAGATATCTTGTGTATATGACTGTGCGTGTGCCCACAATACGCGGAGTTCACATACTTGACCTCAGTCAGCCATTTTCGATTTGTACGTTATGGTCGTGTAATGTTGTTTTGTAGCAGTAGGGCTCCTTGTGAAAGAGTTCGTCCATACTTATTTCTGCTGCCAAGTAGTCATGTGAGCATTACTGCGTTCTGGTTTGGAAGGGTAAGTGTGCTGGTGAAATTACAGGCACATGAGGCTTATCAACTTCAGTCTGGGTGACGGGCGCAGTGGTAGTGCCCCTAAGATCTTTGCGATTTAAAGCTGTGAGTGACTCTGCAACTGTTATGGACAGACGTATTACTTACCATTAGGCGCAAGACTTATTCACCCCGTGACTTGGTATTATAAAAAAGAAACGCGCAAAATCTCGAACATCGTATAAAAATCCTTATTTGTCACTTTGGAATGCAAAAATGGTAGTCGTATGGACCTGTAATCCATGGCGGTGTTTCATATCATCATTCAGCCTTATATTATTTAATTTCAATGAATATTTAACTTCATGCTTATCGTTATATATTTTTTGTTACAAGAAACAAAAGCAAACCTTATACCGCTGTAATATGGTTGCTTCTTTTTTGGAGAACTAAGTAAACACCACGAATTCGTTTTCTTTCTGTTATTGACCGCTAGATGGCAGCTACTGATTGAAATTTCAATATAAAATCAAAACGTCGAATCTTGCAATAGTGAGCACTCATTGAAGTTTCAAATATATGCGTACTGGGTAAAGTTTCAGTTATATTAGTAGTTTAGAATTTGATACTTCTTTTTAAATTAGAAACTATGACCAATCATTATTAACATTTCATAGTATTTACAATTATGAATGTGTGAGTTTGGCGATAGCGGCTCCGCTAGTAATCGGTGATTTCATATTTTTGAAGACATAAAAATGTGCCATAATAAAGTTAAATAACTGACTCTAGCTCAAATACTAAGAAAATTTTACTTACTTAAAGTTATCTTCTTGCCTTCTATGATGTATTAATCTATTTGTTTTTAATTCAACAAATAAGTTGTTTCTTAGATATTCTAAGTTTTTATCAACATTTGTGGTTGTCTCTGGGTTAGTTTTTATTCCCTCTGTAGCCAATAATCCATCAATTTGTGCTCCATACAACAGTTCATGTCTGCCTAGAGTTGCTCTATAGAATATGGAGAACTCTTCGTTTTCTATTACTGGTTTTTGAATGTCAGGTGGAAGTGTAGGAAGATCTGAAGCAAAATTATTAATATTTTTTTATACCAAATGTCGAGACTAGTAAGTCTGGCGCCTGGTGGCAAGCGACAAACCGTGTCCATAACAATAATAATAATAATAAAGAACTTTGTTTATCTACATTTACAAAACAATTTAGTCGTAAATAACATCACTTATAGATACTGATAATAGGTCATGAAAGTAATCGGATGAATAAAAATGGAATGCATGAGGGATAAACATATATATTCATTTATGTACAGGGTGTCACACAGATATGCAACACAGAGGTAAAGTACTTTAAATAATGTAGATAGGATATTTTGTCTCATGAAGACATTATTTTATTTTTAAAAGCAAGTAATACTGTATTCAAAGACTTTTAAGGAGGGAAGAAGCCTCATTTTTGGAATGAAAATCATCATGGAAATTGAACTGACCAAATGTGAAAAAGCCACCTGTATTTTTATAATGGAGATAAAAAGAATCAATTTTAAAATTATTTTTAGTTAAAATAGTATCTTAAATTAAGTGAACACCAGGATATTTTACTATTAAGTTTAGGAAAATGAATTATAATGCGTTTTACTATTAATATTCGTACTTTCCAGCTCATAACAGTCAGAGAACAGTAGTCTCTTAATTATTGTTTTACACATAGAATGGCCAGTTACATTTCCTACAATTTTTAGAACTGCTTTTTGTCTAACAATCAACGATTGTGGAATTGAGGGACTTAATTTAGCTACACTAAAGAATAATGTGGATATTCACCTCTACTCACATATATCAGATATTCGGCGAGCACCTAGGCCGGATATCTGACCCACTGCCGTAAACAGTTTACAGCGCGCATCGCTGTGATTGACTGATTAGTGAATTATTGCACTTTCGTCGTCGTCTCTCCAGTTCCCAATAACCTAAGCGGCTGGAGGGACCGGAGGATATCTAGCTTATCCTCTACTAGCTCTCCGGGCTAGAGCCGGAGATGCCAGTCGCAGTGTCCTGCGATAATGTCCGGACATAGTTTCTAACTTAAAGGGCAATTCACATGCCCCACGCGTCTCTTCGCTTCAGGCCCTCAACTAGACCGCTACTAAGACGCGCTAGCTGCTCACGAGACAGACGCCCCGGCCACACCCAACCGGAGCAGACAAACATGTCCGTCTCTGCAGCTAACTACAAACCCCAGCGAGTCCATACCCAGGTCCGGGTCCACCAGAGACGCTCGCAAAGGCGTATCACTGGCGGAGGAACCAGCCCAGACCAGTTTTTCAGAGGGTTCCGAATTCTCCACAGTCATTTCTATCATCCAGTCTTGGTCGATCTTCTAACAGTACTCGTTCAATCTATAATCTAAATGAATTTTTCAGTTTTAAACATATACATAGTAGAACAATATCCGGCCGGATATCGGGTGTTTAAATTTGAGAAAAATTAATAATCAGTGCGCTAAATAAAAATAGGCCAGACACCGGATAGTTACGCCGTCCGAATATCCGTTTCATCTCTAGATTCATTATTTCTTTTTAGTTAGCATTTATGAGCTGTCAAAGTTGTGAAAACCTGTGTACCGTGCTCTAAGTCAACATAGTGAAATCAGTGTGAAAAGTGTTAATACTTTGAAACTGTGTTAATATTGTTGCAGTTTGCACCCTGCTGCATTACATATTATGTTATCTCCACCCAAAACACTCTACTTTGCACAAATAACTGTTCACAAATTTCATCCTAGCCACGACGCTTTTAAGTCTACCCTCAAAATAATTTTTAATACAATTCACCATAAACAAAATGCCAGCTGTCTCTTGAAACTGACATTACCAGTGTTGCCATAATGACCAAACCTCCCGGAAATGCAGGGACGACTCGCAATGCAGATCAACCAACAAAATTCACAAAAAATCTTGTGCAACATGTTTTTCATAATATACTTATTTCTACTTTACTTTAATATTTCTACATGCTAATACCAGTGCCGCTCAGGTTCCATGTACGGAAGATCGCAATGGTTCATTTCACTCCCTGGGTGATAACTTAAGACGAGAATAATGATGAATTGTGGCAAACTGTATCTACACCTAAGCAAAGTGATATTCGTAAAAAAAGGAAGGCATCATCTCCTCCTGCAATACACTACACTAATAACCCAGTACATACCCAAAACAGATTTGAAGTGCTAACAACCGATCCGAATTCTCGTAGAATTGATAATGCTGAAATCGTAAAACAGAGGGAAGATAGGCCCCCACCAATTATGCTCTATGGCATCGAGAATATCAATGACTTGTCCTTATTCCTCCAGAATGTAAAACAAAAAGATTCTTTTGCGTTCAAAACCATTACAAAACAGCAACTCCGTGTAACCTTTAATGATATCGATAGCTACAAGAAAGCAATGACAAAGATCAGAGAAAAGGGCCTTATTGGTCACATATTTACCAGAAAATCTGACAGACCATTTAGATTTGTGATAAAAAGTCTCCACCCTACGATTCCAATACAAGAAATAATAACCGTTATAGAAGAGACTGGTAACAATATTAAAGGAGAGATTATCAACGCCAAATATGGACCAGACAAAACACCGTTACACACTTGGTTTGTAAACCTAGAACCAAGCCCTAACAACAAGGTAAAATATTTCCAGTATATATTTAACACCAAAGTTACAATTGAAGAACCTAGGAAACAAAAATCAGTGATATAGTGTAAACGATGCCAACAATATGGCCATACAAAAAATAACTGCATGCGCTCATATCGCTGTGTAAAATGTGCAGAGAATCAAAAAACCTCAGATTGTCCTAAATCAGACCGCACCACCCCTGCCAAATTTGCTCTATGTTCTGGAAGTCATCTTACTAACTACAAAGGTTGTAAAGTTTATGCGGAGATACAAAAAAGAAATCATGTGGTATACTACGCCATACTGAACCTGAAACCAATAAATATTCTACCTCTAATGAGAACTATAACGCACCAATAAAAATCACACTCAACACAGAAGGTAAACACATATGCGAATATTCTAAAACAACAAAAAGTACCAACTCCCCACATTGAAACAATTGTCGAACTCTTGACAAACCAAGCACAGAAGATAGATTCTTTACTCCAACAACTGAGCTCCCTGATGAGCTTGATGGCTACTGTAATCATTAAAATTGCAAATGCCTAGCTTAAAATTAGCATACATGGAATATAAACGGCCTCTTATGTAAAGTTGAGGAAGTAAAATTATTTATTAAAGACTACAGTATTGACATACTACTCATCTCTGACATACTACTCCAAAATCTGTTCCTAGGATATCTGGGTACACCGTGCACTTCACATCTCACCCAGATGGCACAGCACATGCAGGCTCTGCATTGATACTGAGAAACGCAGTGAATCACTACCATTTATCAGAGTTTAAAACTCCAGAGATTCAAGCTATATCAGTGGTGGTGTATGACGTGTATGGGCCAATAACAATCTCAGCCATATACTGCCCACCGAGACACAGTATTTCAGAGTTCTCCAATTACTTCAGACCATTAGGTCAAAGTTTTATAGCGGGGGGTGACTGGAACGCGAAGAATATGCTTTGGTGCTCTAGACTAACTAATACTCCTAACTATAAGTATAACTATTATAATAAATAAAGAACCTATAAGACTAATAAATAAGAAAACAGATTGGGATAGCCTTGTAGAATACGTTGACATATTTATTAACTTAAAAATGCCCTTAAAGTGCCCAGAAGACATTGATGAGGCAACCACTCATATTACCTCCGTCATTCAATGCGCAGGCTGGAAAAGTACACCGTACACGGATAATTATGACAAAAGAAGTAAAATTACACCTACAACGAACACAATCAAGAATTTGGTACGAGAAAAAAGACGTTTAAGAAGACTGTGGCTCCTGACTAGAAGACAGTCTGATAAAACAGCATTTAACAAAGCTGCATCAAATTTAAAAACATTCCTCTAAGCTCTAGAAGACGCAACGTTCCAAGTCAAATTCGTATCTCTATCTGCATCGGGCAAAGGTGAATATTGTCTGTGGAAAATTGTTAAGGGCTAAATAAACAAAATAAAAAACCCCAACCAGTCCGTGCCCCAATAAGAAACAGTAATAGCTCCTGGGCAAAAAGTGCTCTTCGGCCCTGATTTCCTGCTAAACGGTAGCCCTGTGACTAGCCAACACAGGGAAACGGCAATGTGTCCCGTTAGAGGGCTACAGGCGAGGTGTGGGGGGGACGGACTCGGCCATGCTGACGGGGTGAGTATGTGCGGAAAACCTGGCTGACTTTGATCGGGTCAGCCAGACGCACATTTCGAGCCCCCGATGTCGCGCAGTGAGCTCCCAACCTCTGCACCTATATTCTCCTGATAATCCTGGTGTCCCGAATGGGACATCCCCAAAGGTGCGGGCTCCGTGGTGGGTGGGAAATTAGGAGAGTGAACACAAGAACACTGCAATATGGACTCTGCAGATCAATCAAAATCAATCAATCACCCAAAACCGGTGGTACTGGAGGGGAAACCCAAAAGTGCTCCATCAAGTACAAAATCAAATACAGAACAGCGCCCTACGGTGAGTCAGAGGTGAGAGATAGGCCAAAGGGGAAACCCCAAGGCCAACCGCGTACCGATGTCGGTGCTGGCCCAACACCAGCGGTAGTGGCCCGAGTCTCGTGCTCCGTGGTCCCCGCTCAGACACCTGGCTCTGCACCGCAGAACCCAATGCACACAGCCCTTGAGGCAGGGTGGACTCTGGTGAGTCGCAAGCTCAAAACCACGGCATCCATCCGCATGGAAGGGGAAAGTGGCCAGGGCAAGCAACCACCTCCAGCTGCCAGTGAGAGCAGGGGACGCCCTGCCCGAAAAAACAAACGGGGTCGGCTCCGAGAGCGCGAGCGACTTCAAAACGCGAGCAACACCCAGCAGAAGGGGGGAGAGGCGAGGCCCCCAGTGGCTGGCGGGGATGGTTCTGGGACCGCACCAAGGCGGCTCCCTGG